CAGGTCACCTTCGGGGCCCTGCTCGGTGCCCGCTTCCCGCGGGACTTGGCCATGAAGCTGCTGCAGACGATGAGAGCAGAGGCCGCCGGAATTTCCAGATCCGGCTGGTTTTGTGGTGTGACGAGGTTGATAAAAACAACCGGGAAACACATCAGACACCTGAAATGTATCGTTACGGGAATCAGTAAGCGACATTCGTGTTGAAGGGGTTGTGTCTCGGGATGGAGCTCGAGCTCGAACTGTGACCTTGACTTCCAGATTGTCTTGGATGCCAGAGAATAGCAAGTAATGCTTACTGATGATTTGTTCGCTTCCCTAGCCCGTCTTGAGCTTGGGGTCCTGCCCCTGCCGCGGCGGGACACGCAGGAGAACCGTCGTCACTTGCGGGTGCTTGCATAGGAAATCATGGCCTGCGCGCGGGCGAGTTGTTCTCCTGATGAGTACTCAAGCATAAAGGCAAGGCTTGTCGCGGCTTTATATGGCACACGGCAGCCTAGCGGCTGAAGCTTGTTTCGGCCCTTTTGAGCTGCACCTGAACCGTACAGCATACCCGTACATGCCAAAACCATACACATGAGCAACAGCAGCCACAGGACTTGGAACCGAACGCGGTCACCCACAGCGCTGTGGTCAGCGCCCTGATGCATGAGAGATAGATTTTTTGAAGGCTCGAAACCACTATATGCTCGAGTCATGCACAGCTGCACATGGAGTTGAGGTCTTGGCATACGGAAGGCGTTGTTCCGTGACTCGGGATTGGGCCTGTTGCAGGGCCTCCTTTTGAGAGGCAGGATCGTTCTGTTTCAAGAGGCAGGTGTCGCAGCCTGTAGTTTGTCACAACTCCCAATCCAGCAGTTCTTGCAATGCCACAACCAGAACTTCGAGATCCTCATCGCACGCAGAGTCCGTCATCGGGAACTCGCTGCCAGTATCTAGGTACCATATTGTATGACCCCAGCATACAAGCAGGAACATCTGTGTGTTTTACGTATACCCAGTAATATATGGGTAGTTGTCAAAATTATGGTCCCTTTTGGGGTACCCTAAATAATAGGTGCCGTATTATAATAAGGACCCAAAAAAGGACCATAATTTTGACAACCACCCATATGTGTCGTGTCGATTGATTTGTCGTCCGTCCTTCCATCTACCACACTTGATGCAACTCCCGGCGACTTAAAACAAATGCCCTGCTTCCCGTGGCAACAACTGACACCATCCGTTCCAGCAGCTACAGGCGCTTGTGAACGCGACGGGCCACTTTGCTAAAACTACGTTCCTTGCTTCCCCCAGTGCTGCAATGACTAGTATAAGGACGACTCGCAATGGTGATGCTGCCTCCACTTGAGCTGCCGCTGCCTGAGCCCTTGCTGCTGCACTTGCTGCCACTGCCTCTGCCACCGCTGGCATTGCTGCTGCTGCTGCTGCCACTGCC